GGGATTGATTCCAGAATCTTCACGTCTTCTGACAAGCCATTGCCTGAATGAATATAGACTTTTAAATCCATTCTGGCCAACGAGGCCAGGCTCTATGAGAGAGCTTGCAGACTCCAAACCTTCGAGGGCAAGAGGAAGCAGAGAAGAAAACCAGCGCAAGTGTAAGGGGTGGTCAGGGGCGGAGACCGTGGCTAAGGGGGATCAGATGTCTTGTCTGCAGGTTCGACCATTTCTCAGCTCCAGGCAATTGCTGCCCTGTGGGGGTGAAGGGGCAGGTCAGTTCTCATCCAGCTTTTACAGAGAGGCCAGAAATCCAGATTTGTGTATGAAATGCACAGACCGTTTAAACCTTGGTTCAGACCCCAATAAGCCCATGTACGGGGCAGAGAGGGCGTAGAAGCCATCAGTTTGCTTCTTCTGTAATATGTTGATATGGCACCTCCAGTCACCAGCTTACTTTCTCCAGTGCTTGAACACATAAAGGTGGGAAGGAAAAGGACACTGAAGGCTGGATGCTCAGTGTCCGCTCAGACACTGCTTCTAGAAAGATACAATTTTAGGAACCCATCCCTTCTCCTGGAGCAGTGGTTCTCGACTGTGGGGGATTTGGCCCCCAAGCAGAACCTATGGAAGTATCTGGAGACATGGGTGGTTTCACAGATGAGCAGGGCTTGCTATTGGCATCTGATGGGCAGAGCCCCATGGTCCCCACAACAAAGAACAACGCAGCCCCGTATGTCAGCAGTTCCGAGGTGGAGACACTCTGGAGGGGAACAGTGGTTCTCAACTCTGTTACGTACAAAAACACTTGGCGGGGGGAGGGCTTTAAAAAGTTACTGATGCCTGGATCCTACCCCACAACAAAGAAACCGGAGTTTCTAAGCATGAGGCTCAGGACTCAGATTTTAAAAGTTCTCGAGCAATCCTAATATGCAGACAGGACTGAGATCCATGAGAGTCAACAGTAAGCTTCCTGCATGCATCCATCATGGACCCCCCCCCAGCCCTCCACAGAACCAACTCAGGGCTCCACTCAAACAGGTGCCAGACACGTATCTGTTGCCAGCGTGGGGAGACAGATTAGTGATCTATCATTAGTCTCCTACAAACTGCGGTGCTGGGCTTGGATTGACTTTCAGCGTTCTACTGGTGGCTTTTCTTTTTTTTTCTTTTTTTTTTTTTTTTGTTTCTACTCAATTATTCCGTACATCAAAAGGCTACAACTTGCAGCAGTCAGTCAGCCTCATACCAACATGCTTTCCGTTGGAATAATTACTTCTGAGAGTGAAAGGTACAGAAACAATCTGGACAATATATTCATGCCAAAGGAAGCTTATGAAATTAACTCGCAATCTTTTTTGTCACCCTTCCTGGTCATACGCAATGAGAAGACTTAGAAATTGTATATTAAACATAGTCCTGGAAACTTCCACTGCTCTCACTCAAGGAGATAGGAAGTAAGAAAATAAGAAAACAAAACCCAAACTAGGGCAGCAAGGCAAGTCTAATAGGAAACTACTAATGCTAACCAGATTCCCCTGTAACCAGAATTATTCGATTGGTGACTTATCCACATTAGTTGAGTTGTGGGCAATCTTCACAGGTTCTGATGGAAGCTGTGTGCGGGTGGGGGATGAACAGGGACTGGAGCTTTAGTACTGAAATCTGCACCAGCCAACCTACCCGCCTGCCAATCGCTATTCAAGGGAGTAGTATTCTCACCCATGGCTCCCTGGGGTCAGCACGTGGCCTCCAGCCAGGTGTTCAGGAAGCCTGGGGCCTTTATCCAGAGCCATGGTTGGCACTAGAAATGCAAGGGTCCACAAGAGAATCCCGTCCCTGGACGCAGGAGCCTAGGGAGGCAGACCCAGGAGTCAACAAGCTGTTCGACTGGGGGTGGGAGGGTCAGACCTTGTCGGATGGAGCAGGTGCTGGAGGACTCTGCAGGACAGGGTGCTGATGCACCCCTGGAAGAGGGCTGAGCAGTGAGGAGGCTTCTCAGCTGCAGGTAAAGAACGATTATGCATCTCAAGGGCTTAATGGAGGAATGTGCTTGCCAAAAGGAGCCCAGAGGTAAGGGAGAGCTGGGTGTGTCGGGGAAACCCCAGGAAGTTCAACACAGCAAGTCGTTCTTCAGCAGGTGGGAGGAGTGGGGAGGCTGAGGCTGGAGAGGCAGCAGGGCCAGCCTGTGTGGGCGGAGGGCCCTGACTACGGAGTATGAACGAAGAGGTATTTTTCAAGGAGGAAAAAGGTGAGAATCCCAAAGAGGTAAGTCACCGAGTCAGACACTGGGGCAAGGGACTAGTCTGTAATCAGGGAGTAAAAATCACAAAATCACACCTCCATCCTCAGGCTGCTGTGAGGACCAGCGAGGTAAGACGCACAGGGCTGGGCAGGGGGGCAGGAAGGAATAATACGAGAAGGGAAAGAGGGAAGAGGGTGGAGGAAGCCTTCAGTCGTGGAAAAGCTTTTCTGGGAACTCGAGGACAGGAAGGAAAGGAGGAACGAAGGAGGGAGTGAATGCGCCAGGAATATAACCCACCATTTGGCATTTTCTCAAAATACTGCAGCAGAGATTGAAAAGACTGAAATTGCTTTTTGCTCATTTTTGGCCGGTGGCCTGAGATTTCTTTGACTTCAGGCCAAGCTGTCATGGGCCGTGAGTGACAGGCAGAAGGCCTGTTGCTTGGACCACGCAGGCTCTTGGTAAAGTTGCTGGAGTGAGCTCTACAGTTACGGGTGTTTCGAAGGCTAGATTGTCACAAGGGCCCCTTTCCAGGATACACATGGCTCTGTGTCCCCAAATCCCTCATTCATCCCGACATCTGCCTCCATGGGGGAGAAACGTGACTCTCACTCAACCCTGGGGCCGGCGGCTGTCTCAGTCTCTGACTTGTAATCGCAGGAGGAGAACCTCTCTGCTTTGCGGACAATACGAGGCCTCCAGTAATGTGACGAAAAGGCAGGTATCTGGTGAAGAAAGGATATGTCCAGAGGGAAGCAGAGAAGCTCACTGTCCAATAATTGCATTCCATAGCTTGCTGTTTCAGCAGCTGGAAGCAGTCAGGAGCCTGGTTAGGCTCTTATTCAATAAGACTCTTGCACATGCAAGATCAAGGGAAATGCAATTTTTAAGACCAATTTTTTTTTTTTTTGGTCAGAGAATGCTCTGGAATAGAGACTTGTTTGGCTTCAGGACACCAGCCTATACAGAGTCCATTTAATTCTTGAAACAGGACAATAACCAAAACTGATTTATATAACTTTTTTGGGTATTAGAATGTTAATAAAATTGTTGTCAGGAAAATGAATAGCTTGTATTTTTATTTTAACCAATCGCAAGGCTTCATCCCTTTTTTTAAATTCATTTCCACTCACATAAAGAAATTGCTTTATCATCCAATTTTTTAAAAAAAATCAGTTTTTCTTCCCCTCTGCTCCCCCCACATGGTGATTTATTTTCTCTGTGGAAAAATGTTAATAACTGGCCAGGAATCTAAATGTTAAAAGCAAAGAAAAATGAAATCTTTGGAGATGAAAATAAGTGATCGATTTTTTTTCTTTCAGAGAAATTGCCGCTCCCAAAAGATACAGAATATGGAAAGGAAAAACAAGTAATTACAACTCTAAATTCCTTTAAAGCAGCCACTCAGCCCTCTTTTTCTCATCTTTCTCTTCATCTAGACGTTCCTGGACATTTCTGGAGCAGTTCTGGATGCCAGCCCTCACTCAGGAAACTCACAGATCAGAGCAGATGACAAATACTTTCAGCAGATCACTGGAGTGAAATGAGAGAGCAGCCGCCAGCGGAGACAGTTCCTGCAGTGCCAGGAACTGCAGAGGCAAGAGCACCAAAGATAAAGAAGGAAAGGGATGGCTTCACAGAGAAGGGTGAATTCGAGGAGGGTATTGACAGGTGTGTAGGAGTTGTCCAAATGGAGAGAGAAGGATAAAAAGACATCTGTTGTGTAGGGGAAGCTGAATACCACAAACTAAAAGGAAGTAGAGCTGAAGGGAGTGGCTGAGGATGGAGGACGTGTGCTGAAGACACATAACAAAGCCAGTGCAGTGCCTAGATCTTATCTTGTAGGTGACAGGGTAGCACGAGAAGGGGTCCTTTGCGGTGTTACAGAAGTCATTTTGGCTGCAGTAGAGAAGATGGACCAGAAGGGGGCCACCCTGAGCTGTGAGGCCAGTTAGGCAACTATACCACAGGGGTCCAAGCAAGAGATGAGGAGGGCCCACACCAGGACGGTGGGGATGTGGATGAAGAGGACAGGCAGGTGTGAGACACACCTGGAAGGTGGGATCAGCATGACTTAATGACTAGTCCCTTAGCATCACGTTTTCACGCAGAGCAGAGCACAGCACAGAGAAAACTGTAGGCTGATAGCCAATTGGACAATTCAAGCGGAGAAGGAAAAACAAACAAACAAAACCCCCAAACCCAAAAAACCAAAAAGCAAAACAAAACAAAGTTTAGTGGGGAATGGAAAAAGGTGGGAGGTATCTAGTAGAGAATAAAAAGGCGAAGGGAACTAAGGAAGAGCTTAAATTTAAGAGTCAGTCCTCAGGCTTGGAAGAAGTCTTCTAAATGGTTTTCTAGCCTTTCTTTACATACTTCTGTTCATGGGGAGCTCATTACCTGTAGAGTCAGGCTGTTTCACTGATACCCTTGGTAAGCACCTTGAACCATAATCTTTTGTTCTCTGGCTCCATATGTACAGCTTCCTTTGAAATTTTTGCTTTCAGTGGCTGCATGACACTTTTTGGAAACCTATTTGATTTAGCAGGAAGGCCTGAATGATCTGGCAGTCCTCCCATCCTGACGGAGGCTCCTCCACCAGAGCGCAGTGGAGGCTGAGAAAAAGTCACGGTGCACGCGCACAAAGCATGGAACGCGTGTGGTTGCCCGCTGCAGCCCCTGGCCACAGGTTTTAAGCTGCTTTGTCTGCCTGAGTCCCCTGCCCCATCCCATCCCGTCAGAAAATCACCAATACCGTGCTGCTGCAGCCAGCAAAGCAGGCAGACAGGTACGTAATGCCATCTGCCCCACACACTGGAGTGAAGGAATCGGTTTGGCATTCACAGTTTTTATTGCAGGGCGAGTAGGGGTCCAGGGCCGAGCCCGGCGCTGAGCTGGAAAAGAGAAGAAACATGGAACCCATCAGAGGAAGGGCAACTTCTGTTGGATCTCCCCAGTGACAGCCTTCTGCCCTCTGCTGTGATGATGTGCCTGGCGCCCCTTCCTTCTCCTCCTCCGACCTCACCCCTCCCTGTCCCACAAGGACCAGCCCAGCGCCACCGCTGAGAGCAGTACATAACGGTGCCGCAAGTGGAAGAAGCCTCTTCTTTATCCTTTGCGCCAATGTGCCCTCCAGGCTGGGGGCAGCCCAGGCTCAGCTCGGGGCCACCTCCTCTGTGTCGCTGCTCGTGATTCCTGCAGCCTCAGCCCACTCCCCCTTCCCTGACCCCACACCACCACCGGGCACAGCCGGACACTGACTTCTCCCCTCCTCGGGTCAGTCCTCGTCTCTGCTTCCTCCCTCCTCCCAGCACGCAGCAAGCCTTGTGATGCTTAAACACCACCACCACTAGACTGGATTCAATAACTATCGTCTGTTTGATTGATTCGACTTCCTGAGAAAAATAACACAAGTTATTTTAAATTTCCTTTTGTATCATTAAAGGCACAACTACCTGAAGCACGCAAACTGCAAAGGGGAAACGGATGGAGTGGGTGTTTTTAGCTCTGTAAGAGAGAAATCGTCTCCTTCCAGCACCATTATTTTCAGCTGAGCCTCCTAGGGTTCATAATGACGATGACGGTGATATCTGACAATTTACATGCCAGGCACTGTTCACGGTACTGCGGACATTATTGTACTTATTCTCAGTGTGACCCCATGGGGTTGACAGAGAAGGAAACTGAGGCAGAGCCAGGCTGAGTCGCCTGCCCAAATCTATCTAAGTCGTACATGGGAGAGCGGGGGTGGGGAGGGTGGGGATTGGAGCTCTACCAATTTGGGCAGAGTTAGCAGTTGGATTGTAGGCTCTGAGCCTTTTTTTTTTTTTTCTTTTTTAATGAAGAAGAACTTCATTATCGTAAGACCCTGTGCTTTGAACTACTACAAGTTTACTACTTGAGAGTTGGCACAGAAGGCTGGCGGTCTTTCTCTCCAAATGCTGTTACTTATGGCATGCACACACCAGAAGGCGCCACGTTTGGGAGGAGGAGGAATGGGGGCTGGGCTGGGGTGGGGGGCAGAAGAGACCCTGGTGGTGGTAAAGTGCCTGGGCTGTGCATGAATATACGGACAACTGCCCCCACCTGTGTTCTCCCATTCAGCCTGCTTGACCTTGTCGGGTGGCAGGTAAGCCCGGCTCTCCTGCATCTTTGGGATACAGGACTACCGGAGAAAGCCTGATGGCCTGCCTGGAGGAGGAGACTGGCATGAGGAGGAACTGGTATCCTGCAGGTTGACTCTGCTGCAGCCTGGATGCTCCAGACTGATCCCCAAGCAGTCTCAGATTCTCACACAGAAAAGGGGACAGCTGTTGATGCTGGACATGTAAGCGCTCTCCATAATTCCCTCTGGGGCAATTCTGATTGGACTCTAGGCCAAAGTCTTGGGATAATAACTAGAAAAAAGGTGTCCCATAAGAACCAACTTCTTTCCCTTCTCCCTCTTTTCTCCTTTTATTCCCCACCTCCTTCTCCTTCCCGTACTTATCAATACCTACTAGGGGTGAGACCCTATAATTACTATGGGAGCCTGATGATACCTTCTGATAATTTCCAGACTGACTGGAATCTATTCTGTCTTTCATTTAAAGCTGAATTTTAAGGGGCATCTGGGTGGCTCAGTTGGTTGTCCCACTCTTGATTTCAGCTCAGGTCATGATCTCAGGGTCGTGAGATCGAGCCCTGCAATGGGCTCCGTGCTGGGCGTGGAGCCTGCTTCAGATTTTCTCTCCCTCTGCTCCTTCCCCCACTTTTCTCTCTCTTTCTCTCCCTCTCCAAAAAAAAAAAAAAAAAAAGCTGAATTTTAAAATAAAATTCATCTGTATTATCTATCTTCAATCGTTCCTAAAGTCAAATGCCAAAATGAGTGGAATGGTCTGAGCCCTCCACCCAAAAGGTCCATTTGACTCTTCAACCCCGGGAGGAAGATACAGAGGCATCATCGAACCCTCCACTCATGGTCACCACTTGGGACAAAGAGAGCTCCCTGATCCGACCATGCAGAATGAGTCTAGGCAGCCCTGGGCTGGCAGGGGTGGGAGCGGACATTTCTGGGACTTACGTGTTTCCATAGGGAACAGTAACCCCAGCCACGGGGCCTGTGTCACAGCCGAGGAAGAGGAAGGAGACATAGCAAGCTGTGGACACCAGGTTGACGAGCATGGCCATCCGAATGGCCCCGAGGGCAGAAAGACTGAGCTTTTTCACCAGGAGACCGCCCAAGAAGATCCCCAGGCAGGCACATGGGATTGCAGTCATCCCTGGGAGAAAAACAGAGGGGCGGGATCCATTAGTGGGGGAAGTAGGGCCCATCGGCGCAGACAGATGGGTGCCAGGCTGGGGGCCGAGCCCTGCGCGGGCCACATTCCCAGTGACCCCCCACTGCAGTTCCGCCTCCTCCAAGCTGCCTCCGAGTCTCCATGAGGGGCCTTATTTCTGCCCTCCGGGAACTCACAGAAAACTGGGGGAGACAGACGTGGAAACACTTAGTTATGGGGAGTCCAAGTACATACACCAATCTTGCTAAGTAAGGTATCCTCATGCGAAAGACACGGCTGGCGTGGGAACCGCCATGAGACAAAGACAGACTGGGAACACGCACGTGCTCTCTGTGCATTTTTGAAGTGATGTGAAAGGGGACTTGAGATCATTTGGGGATTTTCTTCCCTTTCCTCATTAGCTGAGGAGGGCTTCATGGAAAGGTCTGGTGGCTGTTTACACAAAGGTTCCAGCACTCACCAGCCTGTGGAGACGGCATTTTAACTTGCTCCCAGACCTCCTGGGAAGGAGCATCCATCCAATCAATATGTTTTGTAGCTCTTGGTGAGTAATTGGCATAAATATTCTCCCCTTCTTACAAAAAGAGCTATCTGCAAGGCAGCAGGGACCATAAACCTGTTATTTCTGATTCTCAGAACCCCAGACTCAATCCTAGGGTTCCAATCTCCTGTTTGGCTTTGCTCTGTCCTGATTTGCTTCATCTAAAACTCAGCTTTAAATTACAGTGCATCATTTATCCACCGTGTAGACCGTGCATGGCCAATTTCCCAGTCTAGGCGGTCTCCTCCTTGCCAATCAACAGACCTCTAGGTCAATCGACTACATCAACCAGCTGGTATGTGCTAAGGGAATGCAAATTAATTTTAATATTAGGGGAAGAAAAACATAATCAGGAAGGCTGAGCTCTGCAAGAAAATAGCACAAGTCACATTTAAATAAAACATATCTCTGTATTATCTGATGCTCTTGGAATACCTATGCTTGATTTTAACTGGTTTTTGGTATAGAAATGACCTTCATGGTCTAGCCCCCATGTGCCCCTCTCTGCTCACCCCTGGCCCACGGCTCCTCCTTTCTCTTCCTGGGACAGGCCAAACCCATTCAGAACCCCAGGCTTTGCACCTGCTGGTCCCTCTCCTGGGACATTCTTGTACAGCATTTCTCCTTGGCTGGGCCCTTCCCAGACCATGACATCTAGAGCAGTCCTATACTCCATCCAGGGGCTCCCCATCATTCCTCACCCCATTTTATTATCTTCATGGTTCTCCCCATTATCTGAAGCTGCCTTCCTCATTTTTGGTCTTGTTTCTTGTTCACTCTCCCCCTCCTCAAATGCAGCTTCCCCGAGCACAGGAACCTTTTCCATCCTCTTCAGTCCAGCACAGTTCCCTGTGCCTCGCACAGAGTGGGCACTTAAGGCTTCTTTTCGGGATGGATGAAATGGCCAGCAGGCTGGATCTGTGTGCATGAACATTGGTGCGGACATGCCCATGCCCAGAGAGCAGGCCTGTGCTTTGTTTCATTTCCTAGCGGAGACCGTGGGGGAGCATCACCTAGTGAGGACGGTAACTATGGCAATAACAGGCTTTCGGCGCCTTTTCTCCCAACCCGTCATCAGGCTGCTCTCTTCCTCCCTGCTGCATGTGCAGCCTTGGCATTCAGTTATCAGAACTTACCCCGAAACGCCATCCTCATTACGTTAAACTATGCAGATTGAGCCCTTTGTATCTTTATGCACAGATCCATGCATAAGTCCACGCCAGCAGCGCCTTCATCATCTGTGCTGCTCTTCTCCGGACCCCGCCCCATTTGTTGACTTCCAGGGTGGTTCAGAGGCCCTGCGCTGATGCCCCGGGGAGACTGCATGGGCCCCATGCCCTGGGTCTGCAGGAGCTGAGCACTTTCGGATGCGAGCCTTGCCTGGTGCTCCCGGGGTCCGTCTCTGTGTCCTGAATGCCCAGTGCCAGCCCTGTTGCAGCCAGCCCTCCAGGGTCCATGCTGATTAGAGTGAGGCCCCGAGCAGGACACAGGGAGAGGCAGTGCATGCACGCTACCTGTGTGGACTGCCGGACAGACGGACTGACAGATGGGCCAGCAGGTGGCCTCTCTGCATGGCAGGAGAAGGTCCTCCCCTGCTAAGCACCCTGGCAGACAGAGTCACTGGGAAAGAAACAGGTGCGAGAAGGCGAGATTGTTTTTTTGACCTTCTGCCCTGAAGAGTATTGATTTGTTTGTCGATAGAAACTGTTCTGAAATAGAACACAGCCCCGACGTCGAGGCAACTGTGCAAATGTAATGAGAACGTAAGAAGAGCAGCACAGAAATGAGGAGGAAACGGAGGAACCCGGGCTGCTGGAGGGCAAAACCAGAGACACTGAAGGTATAAACAAGAAGTTACGACTTTAATTATAAAGAGACCCACTTTACCCTCTCCCTGCCAGACACGTACTAGAGGGCTGCCTGTATTTTGCTAATACTTCTTGGAAGTGACACTTGACCAAAAAAAAAAAAAAAAAAGGATGGTAAAGCTTTATTAGCAAAAAAAATAGGCTTGTGCTAGCCTAGCAGTTGCCAAGGAGACCTTATGATCCAGCTGCGTCATCGTAGTAGGCTTTTAATTTTTTTTTTTAGTTGAGATACATTATGTCCTGGGAAGTGTACAAAGCTTAAGGGAACAGCCGATGAATCCTTGCATCTGTAAACACCCCTATAACCAACCACCGCTCAGATCAAGCTTAGAACATTTCCAGCAGCCCGGGAAGGCTCCCCACTGGCTGCCCACCTCCCCCTCCCGGAATGATAGTTCCCATCATCATGGCCTCTATCACTTTAATTAACTTTTCCCTCTTTGAACTCCTACAAATATGTCCTCTTTTGTCCCTGACGTCTTTCAACTCTGTCAGATTCATCCGCATTGAGGCAGGTATGAAAATGCTTGCTTTCTCATGCTATGTGGCAGCACTGTATGAACATTCTCTAATTTATTTACCCATTCTCCCATTGACAGACGTCTGGGCTGTATCCAGTCGGGGTCATTATGCACCAGGCTGCTCTGAACACAGTTACATATGCAGATCGTAAGGAGTGGACTTAAACATTCATTTCTGTCGGGTATCTGCGCAGAAGCGGAACGGACATATCCCGGCATAAAAACGTGCTTTCATAGGTGCTGCCCAGGAACTGTCCAAAGTGCTCACACCACTGGGCACTCCCAACAGCTGCTCATGAGAGTTCCAGGTGCTCCACATCCTCACCAACACTTGGTACTATCAGTCCAGTGGATGCGCAGTGGTATCTCAGTGTGATTTTAATGTGTGTTTTCCTGATGACTCATGATGGGTTAGCACCTTTGCATTTGCTAATTGGCCATTAGGTGAAGAAACAGGCAGTGTTGAAGGAGACCTTTCCTCTCAGCAGACGATCCGACCCCCTACTTACCAGAGAAGGTAATTATGGGGCTGGAGCTCTCTCTCAAATGCAGGGCCATACTAGCCGTAGTCTCAGTGGCCAGACTCATGCCTCTCTCCTTCTCTGCACTGGCAGGACCTATGAGCTCTTCTTCTGTCGAGGGCTGTCCATCCACACCCCTCTCTTTCCTGCAAATCCCCTTCTGCTGGCTCTTTTCCCTCCACTTAGCAAACCGCTCATGTTTCCTAGCAATGCCCCATCTCCCCCGCTCCCCCTCCATGGACACACGGCCACCTGCTGGAGCCCCTCTCCTCTGCGCCACGACTGAGCTTCGGGAAAGTGTCCTGCAGCCGCAGACTACTCCTTCCCTCTTGTAGGCAGCTCTCCACACGGAGCACGGGCTCCCCATGGCCACGTCTGGGACACAGCTCTGACACAGGACGTCCCAGTGCTTGCAGCTAACGGAGACACCCAGCTTTCATTGTGTGTGCACTCACGCAGCTGCCTGCTTCCTCCTTGGAATCATCTCTTCCTTGACTCCCATGGATTTCTTTCCGGACTTCCCCTCAGACTCCTGTGTTTCCTCATGGTTGGGACTCTTCTCTTCCAATTCACTTTCTTGCTACGTAATTTCCACTCCCGTGTCCTCCACTTCCACCCGGACATACACCAACGCAACAGAACCTCTATTCCCCAGTGGGGTCTCCTTGCTGAGCCCCCACCGAGTACTGGACGCTGCAGAGACACACCATGGGTGCCTCACACTCAGCAACTTCAAATGTGATCTCATAATCTCCCCCATGGATCTGATTGTTCTCTGCTGTTTCCAGGTTTCAAAAATGGTGCCACCAGCTGTCTGAGCCAGAAACATGGGCGACCTTCTTGACTCTTCCATCTCCCTTATCAGTCATGAGGCCACGTTCCTAACTCCACGTAAGTAATGCTGCTTCCCTTGAGGTCAGATTGGTTTTCCTTACCATGCCAACTCCAAACAGTGGAAGCAGATGCCCGTAGTCTCCTACTGAGAAGGATGGTAAAGCCATGCTTGAGCTTGGGGAGGAGTGCCGTGATCTATTAATTATGTCTGCTGTGGGCAGGGGTCAGGAGGGGAGTGTATGGCTTCCAAGTTCTATATTTGCTGACTGTGTGTTTCATGCTGCCAAGGATATTCTTAATTTTTTATGTGCCTGACCAAAGCCTGCTAACCTTTCTGGGTATGTCTCGATTTCCCTCTTCCTTCATCCTATCTTCCCCCAAATTCTGCAGTTCACACCAATCTATTGATCTCCTGGCCTGTCACAATGCTTCTTACGTACATTTTATATTTTAGCTCTTTCTTATCACATCCCTTTGGCAAATTTTGCTGCAAGAATAGACTCTGAAATTCCTTCTGCACACAGACCCCAAGAATACTGCTGCTGTAGGAGCAGCAGAGTCTGGGCTCTTTCTCCGGTGGGCCTCGGTCTTAGAGGGCTACCCGCATGAGAGCAGTCCTCTGTCCTCCCGGGGGGACGGAGGAGCAGACTCACCGAGCAGCTGGTTGGCAGAAGAGGTGGTAAGGTTAAACTGCTGCTCCAGGTACTTCCCCAAGAAGGCAGCGAAGCCAGCCACCACTGCAATCTCCATGCAGGCGGCCAGGATGATGCAGGTGAACACAGGGTTCGAGAGCAGGTGCTTGGTGACCTTCGGGATCACTGCAGGGAGACAGAAGCAGAGGGTTACATGCTGCACTTCCAGGGCTCCTGCCCCCAGAGTCCCTTCTTGACACACTTTTGCCCATCACAGCAACCAGCGTCGGGAGTCACCCAGTTGCTCAGGCTGAAACCTTGAACCTGTAAGTCACCCATAAAGTGTGGAAACTCTGGCTTCAAAATATATGCTCATATTCTGCCAATTAAACAGAGAACTACTGGAACAGGAAAGCCTATACTGTGCCTTTTCATAGTTTACTGGAAATACCAAACAATTTTATAAGCAATGACAAATTATTTCCACCCCCCCCAAAAAAGTTTGGGGTTTGTTTCTCAAAGGAAAAAAAATATAATTATATATTATAAATTGCATTATAATAATGTTATATCAGTATATCTAAGCATATAAATCCATAAGTCTGAATAAATATTTATAACTCTA